AAAACACTCAAAATTACCACATCTGGCCCAAACCCAGGTTCTCGGGCCCAGAACCTAGGTTTGGGCCAGATGAGGTCATTTTTGGTTGTTTTGGAGGAGTTTATACCAAACGTGACCACATCTGGCCCAAACCCAAGCCCAGAACGATGGGTTTGGGCCAGATGTGGTCATTTTTAGTTTGACCCCTCCTGGTGCCAGCCAAAAGCCATCATAAAACACACTAAATTAACAAAATGGCTGCAGCCTGATACCTCCAAATTGGTGAAACAAACTTGGGAGAATGGAGGGAGAGGTGATTGGAGTTTTGAGTCCGTTTCTTTGAAGTACCGGAGAGGGGCTAGGAGGGTGGGGAGGGACCTGGGGGTGCTGGGGAGGAAGGGTGGGGGAATGGGGTAGGGTGTCATTGTTAGAAGGCTTCACTGTGCGCTCGCCCCGTCAAGTTGGGTATGGCAAGCCCGTCTTTGGTCATTGCGAATAGTTTTTTGGGGCATGTCAAGCCTGATTCTTGGGTATTTCCAACCCTATGTCGGGCATCACAAACCCCCATTTTGGCAATGCATGCCATATGTGGGGCGAACGTTATTTTGAGTATTGCAAGTTTCATTTGAAGCATTGCGAACCCAGGTTTGAATATTTCAAGCCCAGTTTGGAGTACGGCGAGCCCAGTTTGGCTATTTCAAATATCAGCTTGGGCATTTCAAACCCAAGTTCGGGACCCCGAAAATGGGGATGCCCGGAAAACGGCCCAGATCTATTAAAAACAAGGGGTTTTGAGATTTCGGCGAAGACGAAGAAAATTAACCAGAATCTTGCGGATACTGGAAAGCACAGAAACTCTGGCTAGAGTGTGGGCATTGCAACACCAAGTTTTGATGCTTCAAACCCGATGCTTTGTGTGTCAAGCTGTTTTACGTTGCAAGCCCCATTTTCGGTGTTGCAAGCCCTTTTTCGGTATTGGAAAACCTTATCTTGGATATGTTCAACTTTAGAGCATGGCTGGTTGGTGAAGGGTCCTTAAGTGATATAAGCTTGGAGCATTTTGCAGCCATTATGGCTGAGATGCTCCTGTTAAATTTCAACCCTCCCGGCTCACCCAACGAAGTGTCGGCGGGTGACTGGGAGTCTCTCTTAGGGATCATCCTGCAGTTCTGTCTCCGGAGGAGTAAAGAACAAAGCAGATGTTCTTGTCGTTGTATGCCTTGGGCATCCGGCCGTGAAACTCCTCGCATGTTTCGGTGGCGAAGCTTATTGCAAACCCAGGTTTTGTATGTTAAGCCTGATTTTAGGTATTGCAAACACTAAATATTTAGACTTGCAAGCCGTAGTTTATACATTCAACACCACTTTGAGTATTTGAATCACAGTTGTGGGTATTTCAAATTTTTGGGCATTTCGTTGATTATTGTGGGGTATTTCAAGCCTGACTTGGGCATTGCAAACCTACTCACTTGCGGCATTGCAAGCCGCATTCTGGGTATTGTCATTTGGATGCGTTGCAAACCCAGTTTTGCGCATTTCAGACCCAATTTGAGTATTGCAACCCGTATTTTGGGTATTTCAGGCTCTGCTCTGGGCATTCAAGAGCTTCCTTTGGGTATTGAACACGCAGTTCTGAGTATTGCAAACCTTTTTTTTTTTTTTTTTGTATTTCAACCCCTAAAATAAGTATACCAAATCCGATCTTGCGTGGGTTTTGCAAATTCTTTTTGCAATATCCAAAATGCGCTAAACAGGGTTTACATTCCCCAAATAGCGTTTGCAGTGGCCAAACGCGGCGTTTGCAATACGCAAAACGGGTTGCAATACCCAAAAGAGGCTTTGCAAACCCAACATGAAGTATGCAATGCCCAAAACACGCCTTGCCTTGCCCCTGGGTTTGAAATACCGAAACATTTGTGGCAAACTGGGCTTGCAATACCCGAAACAGGGTTTTAAATTCCTTAATTTAAACTGGGTTAGAAATATCCGAAACTGGGTTTATAATACCTGAAAGAAGGTTTGAAGTGCCCAAACTACAAAGATCCTTGGCAAATGGGGGTTTGCAATGCTCCAGCCAGAGTTTCCAGCATCCATACATCTGGTGGATTCTTCTTTTTTCGCCATAATCCCCTTCCCCTAATATCAAACCCTAAACCCACCCCCCCCAAAGTTAAATACTCCCATTATGTGGTATATTTTGGGGAGCGGAGGGTTTAATATTACGGGGAGGGGATTAATCTAACAACTCTTGATTTGAAGGCGCAGGCCATTTTGAGGACATCCCTCTTTTGGGAGCCTCAACTTGGGTTTGAAATGCCCAAGATCCTTATTAAATTACGGCACCTTACTATGGCTGGCTGAAATCTCATTTTCGCCCTTTGCTACCTTATTCTGGCCCACTTTGGCAACTTTTACTTCATTATGGCCCACTTACAAGTATGGCCCTCACAACCTTGTTATGGCCCCTAAATTAAGGCATTAAGGAAACCGGTTCTTGCGGCGATTCATTATGTTGGTTCTTTAGTTCACTTTGCGTGGTTTGCTGTGTAGTACTCGCTTTGTCTCGGTTCGGTTCGAAGACGGTTCAGTTCTGGCGGCGTCTTGGTTCAGGCTGCTGGCGTTTGCACGCATAGGCATCGATGGCTGCTATGTCCAGCTCCCAGCCACATCAACAGGTTTGTCACTCGTCTTGTTGCATCTTGTTGCATTTGCTCGCTGAGGAGAAGGGAGCCCATTCGAGGAGCGGTTCGAAAAACTCTTTTTGAACTCTTCTGAAGTTTAGGGTGTAGGAAAAGAGATGCTGCCCCAGTGGCACACTTCATAACACCTTGATGTCGAACCTGGCACTCCAATGGAGCTTGCTGGGATCATGCCACATGCCCTTGAATTCGGAAGAAGGCGATTTAAATAATTCAAGGGCAAGGGTTTAGTGAAGGCACGCACGCTGCACTTGCGCAATGGCGGAAGCCTGCCATGCAGTTGGTATTTTGCTTAAAGAAAGCACAATGATCGCTTGAGCAATGGCTTTGCTTCCACCATACCCGTGAAACATGTGCCAAGCCGAGTTCTGCGCATGCGCGCGAAAAGAGTTTTTGCTGGAACATGACATATGTCTTATGGAGCATGATCTTGCGGAAGCTTCAGCTGTGCTTAAAGTTTGCAGTAAGTCGGCCAATGTACCCGGTCCTTGTGGCCCAGACGAGCGGTTTGGCAGTCTTGGGCTGGGACTAGGGCACCAGGGCAGAAGAGGTCCTTAGCCACAAGCGCACCGGCCTCAGGCAAAGTGTATCCTGTGCTTCGTAAGTGACCATCCTGTCCCAGGTCATCGGATGGGATGTCCGAGATAATATTCCGGGAACCGTCCAGAACCTACACTTGTTCCAACACAAGCGCGCGCGGAATCTTCCAGAGATGAGGGATTGACTGTGACAGGCCCTGGCAAGTGAACAAATGTGCGCAAGGCATATACTACTACAACGAGGCGTCGAATGGGGCTGACAGCTATTTGCTAGATGCAGACAGTTTGACAACAGGCGACCACGGAGTCCACATGGACCCTTCCCCGTGAGTTGGAAGGGTGGCAGCAGAGACAGGTTGGACCTCCGACCAAGCGAATCATCGGTCCGGTGACAATGGTGAACAGTGTCCAGTCTCCAGAATCCAGAATCCTCCGAAAGTACGAAGCCACTAGGACCTAGAATTTCAAGACTGAATCGCATGCATGAACATGTTTAGATGCGCCTGCCACCAATCCGGTTTGCATGGCAGGCAGGTACGCAAACTCCACAACAGGCGCAGCAACAACCGCCCCCTCAGGCCAGGAAGCTCACAAGCAGTGCAAGCGTCAGGGACTGCAGCAGAAGGCCCATGCACATCCTCAACATCCACCACATCCTCATCCGCAGCACTATCCTCCACATCCAACCACGCCGGGCTATGCGGTACCAGGCTGGATAGCTATCAGCAAAGCAAGCCTCTGTTTGAGAGCAGCGCAGTTCAAGCATTCGACGTGTGTAGAGGCCCCACGTCTCAGGAGACCTGCAGCAAGCTCACGCAGCACCCCACCCTTATCCGCAACAGCAGCCACCAGGAGGTGACAACGCATGAAATGCATTCGCCTTTGCAATCTTTGATGCTGGCATCTTGGAAGGCGAGGCGCCGTACCCACATCATGCACCACCACCAAGTCATACACCCCCACCTGCCGGCACGGTCCTTTCTTGATGCTGTGCATGGCTCATCTTTTTTCTGGCCTGTGGTAAGGCTATCCGCCACCGGGCTATGCAGCACCTGCACCGCCGCACTATATGCCAGCAGGTTACCCACCTCAGGGATACCCTCCTGGTCCCTATGCACCTCCGCCAGGCCGACATGCAATCCGTGCACTCTGACTGCATTCTGCCGAACTGCATTTCTGCGTGCTCGGCAGAGGTCACTACCCTCCACCACCTGGATATGTGCCACCACCTGGCTACGCGCCGCCGGCCTACAGCGTGCCAGGACAGCTGAAGATGCAAACTGACTCAAGAAACCCAAAAAGAGCACCCTGATTGGGGACTAGATTAGATCCACCTTTTCTTCCCTGGAAATCACACATTTTGTCCAGCCAGTTTGGGTTCCAACCTGTTGGAAATTGCAAGGGTCAGGCCCCTGGGTTTGGGCTCAGAGAGGCAGGGCATTTTGCTTCAGCGGCCTCAGGCTATCCAGGCCACAATTCGAGGATGTTCCTCCAATTCCTCCAAGGGCTCTTAGGACTTTCTGATAAAACTTGCGGCATGACCTCAAGAGCCAGAGCGCAGGCTACCATCCGTACCCGAGCTATCCGAGCTATCCTCCGCCGGGAGCGCCGGGTGCGCCTGTAGCACCTGCCGCAGCTCCCGCGGCCCCAGCTCCAGCCCCTCCAGCTCGATCAGCTTCGCCCTCCCGAGAGCCTGAGAGGCGACGGTCTCGGTCACGAGATAGAGGCTCGGCAATGTTGAAAAACATGGTCAACATGTGACAACACGTCTTTTCTCAAGCCGCAAGGCGAGAACGGCCGCAGGCGCGGTGGCGGCGGCGGTGGCAGTGAGTGCTACTGCTGTGGGGAGCGCAAGCCCGAGTTCTTACATCTTTGCCATGGCATGTTCTAGGCCTTGAAACCGTTTATATCATTATGTCCCTTTGTTGCACCCCTTCTTGCCATGTCGAGGACTGGGCATTTGGCTCGGGACTGCCCGAACAAGGGCAAGGAAGGCTTTCGAGAAATGTGCGCAGATCTCAGCTGGCAAGCCTGAGCTACCCAGACGGACTTGTGAGCCAAGACCGGGGCACTAAAGAGCCATAATGTAGCCACGGAAGTCCTGCGCAAACATGCACACACCATATTGTCAGAATGTCTTGACATGTGCCAGCATCGCAGCTCGCATGGGAGCGGGTGGGCGGGTGGCCTATGTATTCACGAATATGAGGCTTATGACCGCCCAAATAGGATGGTAGGATTAGCGCATTGATGCCAAACTTGAAGGAGGCCTAGGTTGAGCACTCAGAACTTTTGCACTTCCACTCCAGCATTTCCCGGAGTGGAGACCTATCCGTCACATGAACTAGAGCAAAGGTCAGCCTTATTGCCAACTGCTCTGTGCAAGGGCAATTGATCAACATGCCCTGATGCTGCTAACGTGAAGGTTGATGCTCATGTTCCCAAGGTGGTGACTTCCGAAGGGGCGAGTGCAACCGCGGTTCTTCAGACTTGATTTGGTCCTTGCTTATTGCTGTTTTTTGTGTGCCCGCTCAGCAGGCGATAAGTGCCGCTACTCCCATGGTTCTGCAGGAGGTCGTCGTTGACTCGCAGGCGGTGCTTAGAACAGTTATGTGAACCAATGAGTCAGTGTTTTTTCCGCAACTTGTACACATTGGCGATTTGGGTAGGCGTGATGCACCAATAACAGCACAGCTGCTTCGCAGTGCCAATGTTTGCAGCAGGTTCAGCGAAGTGCAATTTGGGCCTGATCGAGCTACACGCATGCATGCAGCTTAGTCATGATATATCTTCTTTGGCATTCAACAACCGGTTGCAGGGCTACATGCTGCCAAAAACAGACGGGAAGTATGCCACACAAATCTATCACTGTTGGCAACCACTCCTGAATTCAAAGAAGCACTGCTTGAATGAACGAACAATGATATCAAAGTGGCTATGGCTGCTATGGCTTTGTAGAGGCTCAGTGTGCGACAAAAAGGACAACAAGCCACGACGGAGTCGTTGCTGGCCGGTCTTGCGCAACCTTCTATGCAACAACCAACTGTGCAAAACAGAGCCGTGCGATGCAGCTTGTTCCATGCGGTGTTGCCCAACGGTGAGCATGAGCATGATCTGAATGATTTGAGATGACAGCTTGCCTGGGCAATCGTGGAATGCCACACAAGCAGTGACTGCCTGGCCACTGTTATCTAGAGTAGTATCACGCAGGCACACACACAAGAATGATGCAACTTCATCCTGACATGCTCTGAAGCTGGTAAGACACGAGCTGCTCAGCAGTCTGAAGCCTCCTAAAGCGAGTTGCTCCGTGAAACACGTTGCCGCCATGCCCAAGCCGAAGGACATGGGGCCAGAAGCAAGGGACTTTAGGTCGGAGGTCCAACCTACTTATCTTGCACATTTCTTAGATTTTGGGGACGTGCGGAGCTTTCACTTTTCAGAAAGGACTCGGCCTCACGCGCTGCTGCTCCTCGCAGCGAGTACATCCGCCGAGCTCTGGCGAATCCGAGTCTCGTGGGCCAGGCCATGTAAGCATTTGCCACAGGCAAGTCCAGCAAACATTAATGCCAGAGGCACCAAAGATGAAAGAGTTCTATGCGCAGCAAGTGCGTGAATCCAAAAGGGCCTACTCAATGCCCTCGATGCCTACCCCCGATGTGCGCTCGAAGGGGTCTTTGAGGACTCACGCACTGACGGAGCCGCGCCCTACCGATTGTATGCCACGCTTAAAATGCTTCAGGATCCTGCAGTGGAATTTGAACTGCCTGTGCGGCATTGATGGGCAGACCGCCCAAAGGGCCAGGGATGTGTTGGAGCTGCTGACAAGGTGCAGTGCGGATGTTCTTGTGCTCCAAGAGGTGCGGGGACCAAATTGCGAGGCAGAAATGCACACGTAGGAAGGATGTAATCGTCCACTGTGTCAGATGCCACCTGGCCCAGCACAGTCCTGGTGGTGGGAGCCGTGGAGATCGACTTTTCCAGCTGAAGAAATGAGAAATCTAGAGAAAGCATTGCAAGAGCTTGGGTCTGCTGAACACAAAATTCAGCACAATGTTTTGGGATACTGCTTTGGCCTTTGAGCTCGTGTAGTTCAGTTGTTTTGCAAGGTGATTTAACTCAGGATTGGATTGGCAACCGGGTGAAAGCAGAAACATAGTCTGAGGCCTCAGCCTCGACCCCCTGGAATGTCACGGACCTGTAAAGAAGCTTCAAAGCTAAGGTACGAGACTCAGCTGAGGAGCAGCTGCTTCAGCTCCACCTTGCTGTGCACGAAGCTGACAGTCTTGTCAGTGTCGGAGGTCAGCTTGGATGACGAGCGTCTCAGCAAAAGCGAAGTTTCATCAACCGCGAAAGTAGCTGTGCAAAGTGTAGGGGCTCTGCGACTCCAAGCAAAGGCATGATTTCAGGCACCGTATGGCGGAGGACCGTGCCGCGCTGCTTGTCTCAGTGCGGCTACATAGCAAGGCTGGGGAGGTTGCTTGACCCAAGAGGTGCATCGCATGTTGTACACTTGTTGTAGGATGTTGTACGTGACTGAAGCACTCCACGGACATGAGAAGATGAGGTTGTCTCAGTCATTGCAACGCACCTTCATCATCAGGACTGTCTTCTCGCTTCGTTGATCCTTGTTAATGCTGCTGAGCTGCCCAGCACATGAATCTCGCAGAACTTCGCCGCGACAGACAAGGGCCTTCGCAAAATCGAAACGGAGCGGATTTTGCAGCATTGCTCAGAGAAAAGCCCTGAGAGCTGCTGCACCCTGATGGTGGCCGATTTCAATCAGGCTCCGAGCCTTTCACTTCCGTCCTTCTTGTCGAAGTGCAGCCAGAGGGTGAGAGCAAACAGACGGAAACATACCGAAACTCTGTTGAGGCGCGGCGCGGCGACTACAGCGCTGCGGAGTGGTCTGTTGTCTCTGCTGGCCTCCGCTCGATAGGTGAACCCGAGGATGACGGAGTTGCTCGACTCCTCGCCTCTCATGGATGGCTTTGCGTCATGGCTGGACTTGATTGATTTCAGATTCCGAGGACATCCGAGGAATGCTTAAGGCTGCTAGACAACGCAAGCTGATTCGCGGACGGAGCACAGAGAGGTTTGACCAGGAACAGTTCGGAAGCTGTGTGCTGGGTTTCGAGAACTTTTAGCAATGTGTGCGGGTTATTGGAGTTACTTCCCAGAAAGGCAACTGACACCCCCTCAGGAAGCAAACTATTGTAGCATTGAATGCTACGCCTGCACGGCCAACAAAGTCTAGCGGGGCCAGACGTCGTGATGCTAGCTCGCGCATACGACAAGCATAAAAATCAGAAAGAGAGCGCATGTAGTGACAGATGTTGTTGTAATTGCTGGGGCAATCCACGTCGGCTGTGGAGCTTGCAGCAAGCAGGACGCTGCGCGGGGAATTTGTACCCTGCAAGTATCAGGCATGCCGGCATAGCTTTTTTGCACCAGGGCAGCACGAACGTTGAAAGGCGAGCGTCGAGCTGTGCATCATGTTGTGCGGGGAAGAAAACTTGGAATCGTCAATAAGCCACTTTGGCACTCTCAGCATGTTGCAATGCTCCAGCAAGAATGAACTGGGGCATCCCCTTTGGCTCTTTGCACAAGAAACCAGGTCCTTCTCTGTTGGGGAAAGGGTGAGAAGGGAAGAAACCTGTTCGCCGAGAAGCCAAAGCCAATTAAGCCCCAGTCTAAAGATACAGCATGACTGTCGCTGCATTCGCCGTCATGCGGTTATCAATGAGTTGTTGCCATCGCAAATTACAGAGGACACGCCATCGTACGAAACAGCTTGCACCAGTTTTCAAATCATCGGGGAAGGTACGTACGATGTGGCGGTGGAGAGGAATTGGAGCGGAACAGCGCCACCTTTCACGCACTGGACTGGCACGACTGTGGACTACACGTACATGTTTGCCCCAACTGCGACTGCCGAAGTGGGTTCATATCTACTATGCAGCAGTGTTTCTGACCATCTGCCTATTTTGACACAGCTGCAATTCCGCTGACTGCGCGTGCAGCTAGCTGTTTCTGCTGGAGATGGTGGAGGCGGTATCTGCAGCCAACACCACTCCGTGACGGATTGTTCGATCAAATCCAGCTCGGATAGATTTGATGCTTTGCCGATGCTCGGAATCTGAAGTTTGACTGCGACTTGCCATATTTGCAGGATGCCACCGTGGACACGTCTGAGAACTTCATGCCAGAACATGGTGCACTTGTGGTGGTCCTCACATGTGCCTGGAGTCCTCCATAGGAGGTCGCCTTCAGCAGCGTTGACTTGGACATCCTGTTCAACCGCAGTTGCGTGAGCCGGAGAACAAAAGAGCGAATTGTACTGGATGTCAAAGAGGTATGCTTGAAACGATTCAACGCAGCTGCCTCCTGAAACCGCCGGATGCATGCCATCACAGATTCAAAGATGTAGTCAGATCTCACCTGTTCCGCCAATCCTGTTGGCGCTCCATCCACAGCCAAAGCATGGCGACATGTGGCAGCCTTTGGCTTGCCAGACGCTCGCGAAGGACAGAAGAGACGGAAACGGAAAATCGGAATGTGGGAGCAATGCATGCAATGCCAATCTTGCAGGATTTGGAACTTGGCTTGTCGGAGCCTGGCGCTGGGCGCTGAAGGCCTTGAGGTGCCAGGTGCCTGACATTCAAAACTCACAGTGCGCCAGGGAGTCGAGCTGCGGAGATGCTCCGTCCTGTAGCACGATTGAAGGAGGCAGGCTCATCCTATTCCAGAGGCCTTGACCATCCTTGACCCATTCGCTGCCTCTTTCAGGATTTGCCTCGGGGCTTGGCACTGGAGATGGGTCACCCCTGGATCTACGATGACGAAGTGAGCAATATAGCGGACTTGAATGGCATTGACGCCGGCACGCTGGCTGCCTCCTGAGCAGAGGCTAAGTTCGGCAGCCGCTGCGCTTCGCTGTGAAGTTCCGAGGTGGATATCCTTCGCTGTGATGGGGAAGAACTGGGAGTCGGTGTTCTCAACAGGCCAGCAGCAGGGTGCCCAAACACCCTTAACATTCTTACCTGGTGCTGCAGGCAGGCTTCCATAGTGTTGCGGCGGATGGAAGATCTGTCCCCTGGGATGGAGGTCACGCAGGCTGCCAGCAGCGGAAAGGGCAGAAGGGTCTAGGTAGCTGACAAGTTCCTGGGTGCCAGGACTTGCTGCAAGTTCGTCTTCGGAGGGCTTTCGCAGCCCGGGAGGCTCGAAAAGGACACAGAGCGGCTTTCTGCCGTGCTGTGCATGGCGAGCAGGATGGCCTCCCAGGCAACGCATGCGTTGATCAGCCACTCCAGAGCTTGCACCGCCGCGTGCCGAGGCGTCATTGTGGACCGCTTTGGGAAGTCAGCGGTGGTTATCTTCGAATCTGTGGGATCCGCCAAGCTGGAGTTAGTGGTGCAGGAAGAGCTGACGCGATGGATTGGAAAGCTTCACCAACTGATTCTGGGCTCAGCTAGATCTATGACAATCTACCGATGGGATCACGGTTTTCGGGGGCTCTTCATAAAAGCTGCGTTAGTCTCTGATAGTCTCAGGACAGTTCATCGGATGACTTCGAAAAAAGAGAAGTGGGCCCAAGAAGGCTCAGAATTTACCACAAGCATCACTCGGGGAGACAGTTCAAAAGTGGCCTCCTCAGCTTTTAACGGGTAATTTCTTGCGAAGTGTAGAAAGATTAAGTCAAGCAAGTGTGGAGGTCCGCGTGGAGGAAGATAACGGGGTTTGCTTCGATATCGACGTTCTGCAGGGCCTGCTGGTGGGACACTGGAACTATGGTCTGGAAGACATGAGAAGAGAGGTGGTAGAACGCTTTGGAGCAGGTGCATCATTGATGTTTCCAGCAGCAATTGGTGCGAGATTGATGCTAAATATGTAGTGCAAGCAAAAGCCAAGATTTTTGGCAGAAGCATGTGCCCAAACAGACCCCTGAAGCATCGCCCAAAGCTGCAAAACAGGACGCTGCATGTCTTATGCTGCAGTAGCTGTTGGTTTGTTTTGCAGGCTGTTAAGATTGTTTGAGCTAAGTGCAAAGAATCATTCTGATCGCGCAGGACTCAAGTAGAGACCTGAGCAAGGTGTGAGCCTGGCCTAGCAAAAGGACGCAGCGACAACCCATCGGAAGCTTCAGACACCTGCCAGGGGCCCGCCAATTCTATTTCATCAAGGGAAACAGTGTCAGCCCAGTACGCGGGAAAGTGTATCCTGAATCCGCACACTGCAGATGAAGGCGATGAAATGGACCACCCGTGAAGGACAGCGACGCCAGCCCCCACTTCGAAAGCGTCCACAACGGCGCGGACACCAAAAGCCATCCTCCACTTATAAGTGCATCAGCAAACACCTACATCAGTCCACGTACAACAGATGCTTGATGCAGCATTTGTTGTAGTACCTGCACTGTATCATGAGAGCTGTCACTGCTAGCTCTGTCAACAGCTTGGCGCAGAAAGAGTTGCACAACATGGGGCCCTTCCTGAATACTGGATTGACAAGTCCGGTAACTTGCAGTACCCAAAACTTCATCACTCCTGGAGTTGTAGGCAAGCATGTTTCAATCCAGCAATGATATGTTGCGTTAAGGCAGCAACTCCTGGTTTGCTGCCTGAAGCCCTGAGGTACTGTCCTGGACGCCTGGGCACAATCTGGGCAGTGGGGCATCAGATGTGCAAAGGCTGGAGCGGAAGAGGTGGTGCTTCTAGAAGACACCCTCGGACTTGCCAAACTTTGTCGAGAAAATGCGATCCTAAACGGAACCCGGGCTGCCTTCTTTAATTCAAGCACATTCACACCCTAAACCCTACACTGTATAGCAGCGGACATCCAACATTTAGGAGTGCAAGAGCAGTGCACTGTGCTTCATCGTGGAGACGTGGCTGGTGAGCTCCGCAATATGGCCGCCATGTTGCAAACCATTGTAGAAATTGTATTTGTGCAGCTGTTGACTCGCTGCAAACATGCAAATGGCATGGCCTGAGGCAACCAGCGGCATCCGTTTCAACTGCGTTTCCCTCAACATCAGAGTACGCCAGGAGCTTGAAGACAAGAGACTTGCATTTTTAAAGCTGAGATCTCAAGCAGCAAGGTTTCGAACGCTACTTCAAGCACCAGAGGGGCCAGTTTGGAAAATGGTACAAGCCAAGCTTGAAAGGATACGAGAGGGCCATCTCTTTGGGAGTGCTTTGGCAAAATAAGGGTCGACTTAGTTCGACTTAGCAGATGAGCAACAGCGTCTGAGGCAACAGTGACTTCACGAAATGGCTACTTGGTTGTGACGTTCCTTCTGCCGTTGACGACAGAGTATTGGGCACTTAACTTGGTGCAAGGCTTGGACTGGACTGATGGCTGAACTGCTGTTGACTCAGATAATGGACGTTGGGACCTGAAGGAGCTCTGGAGAGAGCGTCTCGCGTCGGGAGCATCATCTACTTTTCAACAGCCATCACCGAGCTTCTTGGCTTAAAGTTCTGAGCCGTAAGCCGTGTTCAAGGGCAGCAGTAAGCCTCCACTGAAGACGGGCGATGGCTGCTTTCGGAGATGCACTCTTTTAGAAACTGTGACAGAAACTAAGGGACTCCGCTATGCCCTCTGCAACAATGGATGAGTTCTGGAGCCACGTGCTGATTTGCGTGAAGATGTCGTAAAAGGTGATAGAGATCTACGATGCTTGTCGACATGCTTGCTGCTGTGTGATGAAGCGATGTCTTTCAGTACTTCATCAAGTTGACGCAAGAGTGACACACAATGAACACAACAGCACAGACGACACGGAGACCAGTCGAAGACGAAGACCCATGGACAATGCATGCACTCTCAGTGTGACCACGAGATGTGCCTGATCACCAAGCCATGCTCGCTCTTGCCACCCGCCGATTGGTTTCGTCACGGCCTCAGAAACATCTAGAACCAGTCCTAATTGCCCCGACGTCCTGCCGCAGGAGTCAGCAGCTTCTGAAGAGCTCTGCGTGCAGATGGCATGTGCGATACGGTGCAAAGCCTGTGTTTATAACCACGATTCTGTAATGCTTCGGAAATCTAACGCTGACTTCCCATGTCAGGTAGCAGGCATGACCAGACATGGTGGAACGAGGAATCAATACCTGCACGTCACGATGGTCACCAAGCATTGTTCCACACCTTGGCTTCTTAGCATCTCCGCATTTCATGCAGGAGCTGGAGCGACGGCGACGACAAGTCACTCCCCAAAATCAACCAAAGCTGCTCAAGGCACTGACACTTCTGATGTTCGCTGCCGATACATCACAATGCTTTGCACATTTTTGTCGGCTTCATTCTGCTAGAAGGAGGAGCTTCATCCGAAAGCGCCTCGTGAGTCTCAACAGGCGCTTTCGCTCGGAAGTTCTTCAGAAGCCTGGGCTTGGCCAGAGAGACAAACCGATAGGTTAAGTCGTTTTGCCCTCTTCGATTCCAGGATTTGCAAAGCACCGCATTGGACATGCAGCTCTTCGCATCAGCTGAGAGTCGGTGCCATTCTCAGACTTTGCCAGAGTCCCCGGTCTGAAGTATGCGTGTTACGGCAGCTTCGACACCGTTGCAAGCGGCTGGTCAGCGACTATCGCCCGCACACCATCCATCGAATGTTTGGAAAGCAAGACCATCCTCGCTAAGAAGGCAAGATGTAAATCAAAAGCTGCGGCCAAAAGAAACTCCTGGGTGAAGCTGTGTTGTGGTGGGGGAGGACTGCATTGCTTGCCGCAAATTGGCCACTCATCGGTGTCAGCTTCAACAAATGAGTCTGGGTTGCAAAGCCGATTCAAAACTAATCTCATTGCAGGAATGGCCTCGGCACATGAGCCAGCCCCAAACCCCACTATCTGCCATCACCACGAGTTCGATCAAGCATCACAGAAGAGGGGGCCTGATGGCATCAAATGCCACCACAAGCCATACCGCATCTCAGGCAGTAGTGCTTGTAATCACCCCGGATGAACGGATTCCCAGTTCCCGATTTCTCGAACAAGCGAAGTGCTCCTACCAGCTCAGTCAAGTGTGAGACTGGAAGCTTAGCACAAGTGAAATTACAAGAAAGCGCAACCTCAAAGCTGCAGGAACCGTAGAAGGACAAACGCTCCGTCCGGGTTAACCTGCCAGCAATCCTTTCAAGCAAGAACCCGACACAACACATACACCGGAATGCAAGAAAGATGGCAAGATCTGCGCAGGCCGTGGAGCATCACCTTCCATTATGTCCGCCGCTCATGACTCGGTGACTGTTTGACGGAGACATCGGAAGACAGCGGAAGAGAAAAGCAACCGTGTCAACGAATGACAACGGTATGAAAACGAAAACGCAAGCAGCTGAGCTCAGGCGTGGATGTTGGTAGTCAACCTGCCGATTGTCCCTCATCAGGCAGTCTCCATACCTCAAGTTCCTGAGACAATGGCAGTTTGCCTGATAAACTGCGACGATCAGCAGGTTGAGGATAAAAGCATCGAAGTGAGTCGAAGCAAGTGGCCATTGGCCACAGATCGCATCAGAAAGCCATCAGATTCAGCAATCGCGCCTGAATTGCCAAAGGTAAGCCAATTTTTGGAGTAGCCTCTGCCCATCCTCCTCTGCGCATGATGAAGGGAATTTGAGATAAGCATTCAAAGACCCTGCTAGGCAATGTGTGCAGGGCATGGATGGGCAGGCAACCTGAATTCTCATTAGGCATTTTGGAGCGTTGGTTGAAACTGAGACTGGGCTGGTTTTCGCAGCTGGATGGACAGCTGTTAGTGCGTGCGAGACCTTGGTAGAAGGAATGTGCAGGGAAAGTGACAAAAGCATTTTTTTGCCTTCAGCATGCTTTTCGGATTATTGCACGGACATTGCATGGATGGACCCTCACTTCGAATACTTTAAGTGCCCTTGTGATCCTGACTGAGGAAGTGCAACCCCAAGAGTAGTTCAGCTGCAGAAGTCGACCCACACACTAAGGAGCATTCCCTGGGTGGTGATGTTGCTCTTGGTGGCTTCTGCTGGGGTTACCTCAGCGGTGGCAACTTTGTGGGCGCAGGTGCAGCAGAAATCTGCGCGTACTATTTGCACATGTGGCCCTTCCTACTACGACTTGGAGTGTGCAGGTCAGCCGATCGCAATCTCTGGAAGAACTCCAGGAACAGCTGCAGCGTTTCTGCTTCGTGGTTTCGGGTTGTTCGCTGACTTGGCCACAGCTGCAGGCTAGCCCAGAACTTCTCGGGTTGCGCCATAAAATGCTAGCCTAGAAGGCCACAGTCCACCTGCCAAACAAAAGGCACACTTCCCAGCTCAGATTGATGAGGCTGTGTAGAGATGTTCATTGGTGAAACAGGAGTTGAAGGGTCCCTGGGCTCAGATTGCGATGCTTTGACCCCACATACAGGCCTGCACGTACAAGACGCAGCTAGCACTACAGGCGAAACGGATGTAATTGCACGTGAGATCTATACGAATCGGTTAGGGATCAGCACAATGAACATCAATGAACATCAGGATCACCGAATCAGATCACACATAGCCGCGATTAGCCGCGGCTCCGAAGAGTAGGCACAACTCAGATCATGCCCCACGAATCAGTACGCGGTTTAGGCTCCAGGGCTTAGGGGGGTTGGCTTTTTAAGATCTAGGTTTCGTTTAGGGATTTGGGGTTTTGGGTTGTTTAGGGTTTAGCAGGGTTTCAGTGATTTCAGGCTTCGAGTATGGCGTTGTTCAGAGACATTTGGGCATTCAGCTGTTTAGGGCTTGGGGTTGTCAAAGCCTGAGGATGTCAGGTTGTAAAGGCTTCGGTTTTGGGGAGGGTCAGAGTCAAGAAGGTCTTGCGTTAGGGTCCAATTCAGGGCTTTTGTGGGGGTTTAGGGTGTGGGAGGGGTTTAGGGTTAGTAGGGTTAACGCATGGGGGGTTGCTGCGGATTGTTTTAGCCTGGGGTTTGGGGTTCTGAAGGGCTTTGGGGTGGTTCAGTGGTTTTGGCTTTTGAGGGCTCAGAGGGTTCAGCTGTTCAGGGTGTAGGGTTTGTGTTTTGGGTTTCAGGCTGGTTAGGGTTGAGGGCTGGGGTTTAGGGCTTAGGGCGGTTGATCTGTTCAGGGTTTACAGTAAGGGCTTCGGCATTTAAGCATTAGGGATTAATCATGGGTTCAAGTAGTACCCCCCTCTATACTACCCCCCCCAGGGTCCTCCCTTAATTAAGGTTATTTAAGGATAGTTAGGCCTAATTAAGGTTAATTAAGGGGGGAAACTAGGGGGGTAGTATAGAGGGGGGTACTATTGGAACCCATGAATTAAGGGCTTCAGGTTTGTAGTTCTTAAGGGTTTCGGGTTTAGGGGTTGTTCTGGGTTGTTCAAGGTTTAGGGGTTCAGCTGTTCATGCTTTAGGGTTTGGGCTTGTTCAAGGTTCAGTGTTACTTCTCTGAGGTGTACAGTTACGGGTTTAGTTTGGGGATGTTGCTCCAATTGCTACTGTGGCATGCGTATCTCCCCTTCTGAATCCTGTCTGTTTGCGTAGCTGGGGATGCAAGCAAGGGATGTCTTCAAGACTCCTGCTAGTTTGGGGATGTTTAAAGCTGCGGGGAAGGCTTAAAGTCTGGGTGCTTTTCAAGATTTAGGGATCGGGGCTTTTTCAGGGATCCGATTCAGACTTGAGGGCTCCCCCATCCCATTGATCTGATTGGCCCCGGGACCACTTGCACGCGAGTGCTTGCGTGGCACATCAGGCCAGCCAAGCCCAGTGGCACGTCCACTTGATCAAACTCAGTGTGCAGCATCTATACGAACTTTGCTGCGTTGGTGATTGAAGGGATGCGCTCGGACCTAGGCACAAATGATACAACGGCCTGCTAGTCTTATTCAAAACAGGTCAAAAACTGCATCGCCACAATCTTCATGTCCTGAAGGTTACGCAGTGTTCACTACATCTCCCTCGCGTGCGGTACGAGTATAAGAGAGACGAGCCCCACAAGCCATTCGGGTTTTGCTAGGTAGGTATTTGTATGGTGGTAGCAGACATGGGTTTCGGGACAAGCGTCGGAATGAGAATGTTGCATGGATTTCAGGCTGGTGAGCTGCAGCGCCTCTTCACAGTGTCGCTCCTTCGTGCCGGCGATCAGTCAGCAAGATTGCTGACAGATGTGAGCATTTTCGTTTGCTGCGGAACGCTGCCACATAGCTTCACCTTGAGTCTGCCTGCATACCCCAACTGCCTGACTGCACCATCCAGCAAGGTTGGAAAGATTGTATGGCTCGACGTTCTTGTTGCAGTTAATACTGAGTTCAACAGTTCTCAGCAACGCTGATGGCTCAGCTGTTGCAAAATGTCGCAAGCTTCTGAGCCTACAATGCTGTCAAGCTAAATCTGTGCTAAGGTCTTCGCGCTCTGCATACATCAGCACTTCACCGCTCCAAGCGGCGACTGTGCAGGAAACGACAATAGACTTCGAGAAGTGTTTCCACAAAATGCATGTTTTGGTTTTGAAACGATGGCTTAGTCGCAAAGTTGCCTACGCTGTTGCGCTTTTGTGTCAGGCAGGATTTCCTCCAGTTCTGCTGCGGTGGTGACACTGGGAACTTTTTGTGCCTTGCAGCACGGTCGATGGGCAGCATGGCGAGGCGCATCTTGCGCACTGTCACCGTAGTCCGTGAAGTGTCAAGATGGAGCATCTCTTCCTTTCGTTTTTTCAGGTGTCCCTGTCCCTATCGCTTGGTTAATGGCTCCTATCTTGGTGCGGCCCTCGGCGTGACACCGTCAGCGTCATGCAAATTGGTGGTGATGGTACTGGCATCCTAGAGCGAGAGGCTTGCATTTGACAAATGCTTCTGGGTGTAGGGCGGGTTTCAGTGATGTCCAGTCAAGGCACAGCCAAGACCAATGCATGCTTCAAAAATTAGTTAGCAATGTGTTTGGAGCACTCTGCAGCGTCCTTGCAGAATCTTGCGAACGCAGCGTGTCTTCTGACAGCACTTGCAGTACACAGGAATCTCCTCTCAATCACTCCCTTGCAAATGAGCAGACTCTTAACAACACCGAAATGGGGAACCACAACTAGCCAAATGCGGCTTTCTCAATGGTCTGAGCTCCACTAGCAGTTCCACTCACCTAGTTGTAGTTTGTCGTCCCGAAGTTCCAAGCTTGGATTATAGATGGGGCACAGCTGGCATTACAAAATGAAACTTATAATCACACACGAGCATCAGCAGTGCTGCAGATCCACAATCGGCAGTGAAACGAAAAATGCAATGGGTGGCCGCCGAACCAGTAGCCGCAGCCCATATGGCCGAGCCTCACGCAGGACCTGCATTGGTGTGAGAGGCTTGCTTGTGAAAATTCTCTTGCTTGCAGGGACAGTCGCGTACGCGGCAGAAGCCGTGGAGCCCGGCCAAGTTGGAGCGGCAGGCCAGGGGTCAAGATGGGTCAAGGTCTGTCTGTCTTGTCTGTCTGGTTTTATGGAGAACTTTGTCAGGAGATTTGTTGAGGAGGAGCTTTCGGGTTTGCCAGGCTCATCTGACTCCTGGACCATTTCACGGCCATGAAAGCATTCCTCCACAATTGTTCCGGGTGTCCGTCAACTCTGCAGAAGCTGAGTGGAATGCTGTGGGGCCTTACAAGATAATGGGGTGTTCTGATTATAAAGCCCCCCCCCAAACAAGTACAGATCTAACAAATCCGGGAGGCCCCAATCAAGTTCGGAAAAAACTTGTTTGGGGGCGTCCCAGCCAGGCCCGAACCTCGAACATTTAATTAACTTTAAAACCCAAACCTAGCGCCCTGAACCTTGAACCCCGATCCCCAAACCTGAATTAGAGGCTCGGTTGCTTAGACTGGCTGGCGCTCTGTCGCTTCCCTGGCTTTCTTCTCTGCGTTTTTTCTCTCCTTGGGCATTTCCAGAAGCGAGCATGCACTACTCCGTTTCTATGCTGTTATTACTCCGTTCAGACCGGATTTAGCTCTAATCCGTACCCATGTATGTTATTCCGTTCCGGCCTGATTTAGCTCTAATCCGACCCCCTTTAGCAATCCGAATCCCCCGTTAATAGCTGGGCTTGCCCAGCCATGCAGATTTCAATGTTTGAAGTCCTCATGCGGAGGTGACCGCACGCCCTGATATTCCTCAGCATGTCGGCAGAAGAGCAGCCCCATTCCCGTCTCTCAAAATAGGTGGGCTGTGGTGATGTTTGGTGAAGACTTTTGTCTATCGGTCTGCAGATGTTCTTGTATGAGATTTCCCTCATGGCTTCGGTCGACCATCTCTACAAATTGAAGTTTGCAGAACAAAGCTTGCCACCTCGCCAACGCATCAGTCACACAACTTTCAGGTGCACGTCGCGATTTTCATGAGGGCCGCGGTGCATAGGGAAGGATATCTTTTCGAGCAGTAAGGTTCGTTGTCATTAGGTGAGATGTCCTGAGAAAGTTAACCCTTGCATATCATGAGCATCATGAGCGGATGCTCACCATCCACATCCATCCTCACACCGTTGCCAACCACCTGTGCGCGGTTATGTCCTGAACAAGAAATTTGAAGCTAGAGCCGCTAATTTCCTCGTAGGAAAGGCTAGTCATTACGCCCAATTGGGCTTGAGGGCATGCACGTCGAGGTTGCACAACGTTGGAGAAATCAAGAGCGGACCAGAAAGCTAAACGCAGGGAGCTAACAAAACGACAGCCTGCAAATGCGTGATACAAGCCTGAGAGGAAGGAAAGTGAAAAAAGCAGTAAGAAACAGGAAGCAAAGCGTATGGAGGCCGGGAGGAGCGGGGGATGAGAGGGCGCGAGGAGGGCAAGGGACAGACTGGGGAAGAATTATTCTCACTGACACGGCCTGGGCAACTCACTGCTGCGATCACAACACCAGGTTTCCAGTCGTAAGTTATCAAGCAATGCTTCATGACTACTGGTTATACGGTGTTGATGGGATCGGTGATGGAGAGTTGGCGACTTGGGAGACATGGAAGGGTACCGGCGAATAGAGCTACTGATCTAGGGGCCTCCAGGCTCCTCCGACTGCATCTACCGGTCTACCGCGTCGTAAGCCTTTCATCTCAATGTGTTCGCTGCCCCCTTTCTTGTGCGTGAGCCATGCGCAGCGTTGTCTTTTGCGCTTGGCCATGCCTTGCGCAGAGACCATGCTCATCTTCTCTGTCGCAACACTCATGCCCTTTCCTTGCACAGGGACCAGCTAAATCTTCTCTGAGGGCGAAACTCACGCACAAGTTGCTGTGACCTTCGGACTCATTCGGAGTCACATAGGTTGTCATTGTGGTCGAATCCAATACTTGCTGTCTCAGGCCTCCAAGAGTAGAAAACTCTCACAGACTTTGGCTTCATTATGTGTAGGAAGTGGCAGCATGAAATGAGGCGCCTGTGAAGCCTTGACACATGCAAGCGAGCAAGCAAGCAATCCAGCCAGCCACTTGCTGTTTCTGGCTCTCCTTACTTTCGTGGCACAAGCTTTTTGTGGCAGAAGAATGGTTTGTAGCAGGCTTGACTTTTGAGCAGAGTGCATGATGCGCATGCCATGCATTCCGTGCATGACACCTTGACTGAGAGTTGCAGGCGTACGGCCCGCGAGTCCAAGAGCCCACGCCGGCGAAGCAGAAGCAGGCGCACGCAGGTCATTTTCCCGAACACGCAAGTGAAATGAAATGGAACGAAATGGAAAGCTTTAGCGGGCTGCCTATTACGACTCGTACGATTGATTTCACACTCATGCTGCGTAGCACGAGTGTGTAACTGTCAAGATCTAGCGTAGTTTAGGACAGTTCGACATGATCGAGCACGGCCATGAAATAACTTCCTGCACATGAACAGTGCCCTCAGTCAGTTGTCGTACTTTGCCGCAACATGTTCTGTATGATGTACACCGGAAATAGCTCAACCACTTGAGAAGAAGGAGCAGAGAAAAAGGAAGGTCCCAGACGAAGGACCGACCATCACAGACCAAGCTTTGGCTGGATGTTGCTGGATGACCTGTCAGGAGGAATATCGCATTCCCCCACCAAAGAAGCGAATGGATGCGGCGAATACGCCGGCATCGATAACTGAAGAGCAGAAGGTGTGCCAGCACAGAAAGCAACAGGGTGCCATGTAAACGTGTCACGGTCTGCAGGCTGTACGTCTGTAAGTTCAGTGTCTCGAGGCAGCCTCGATAGAGCACGGAGGCTACCTCTACGCCACAATCGATTTCACTGCGCCTGTGCAGAACGCGCCCTGGACAACTCAGGCCCCGTGGCAGTACGATTACCAGAGTCTTGGCACAATAGAATCTTTGATTCTCGGTTTTGCCGCTTTACAGGAGAGTGTAGCTAGAGTCCCTTAGGATGCCAAAGGAACTGCATAGGCTCTGGAAGGGAACTTGCAGGAGGTGCAGTCTTTGTGAGCAACAGCTAAGTGGTTCCAGAAGGGCTACCTCAATCAAAAAAGTGTGACAAAGCTTGTCAGTGAACCGATCCATTGCTTCATGCAGAAGCATGTAGTCAAACCCTTGATATGCCGCCATTGCTTGGGCCGAAAAGCCTTCCGCAACATGCATACGGCTACGGCGTTGGGAAAAGAGCATGCTTAATTTGCCTAGCACGTAGCGTCCACTTGCCCGCTCACTGCGACTTACTTCTTTTAGGGCAGACGCATTGAGTCATGCATGTACGCTTCAAAGACTTCGAGCTTCGACATGCCTGTCAAGATCTGAAGCTTCAGAGCCAGATCGTGTCAACAGTTTGTTGTGGAGCAACAGGCCAAACCCGTGAGCCACTTGCTCGCGCTGGATCGGCTAGGAGTCTAGAATCGAAATCACATCACAACATCTATCCAATGGAATGGAGATCTGCGCAGTGAGGACCAAGTCTGATATTTCGGTGACACGCTCAAAGACATTGCCGCGCGGATGGGAGCTGGTGAAGGGTCCTTCAGTCGCAACTGTCAAACAGCAACCCAAGTTAAACTGCAGTTTGAAAACAAACGTCTAAGGCCCACCGCCGGATGATGTCAAAGAGCTCATCAAAATCCACCCCTGGGGCACCCACCTGTTGGTCACAGAAGGTGGAAATGCATATTGGACGCATGCTGGTGACAATCCTGGCGTCATGGAAGCTATTTGGGACTACGACAAATATCCTGGCCGGTATCAACTGAAGCCCAGGCGGGTCCTCAACACACGCTGCATCCCTTGGCAGAAGCTGTTTTTTGGTTGCCTGCTTCCTTGTGCCAGATACGGCCGGGTCTCCTCTTGGCATGGGAACTTTTTCATCAGGACGATCGACAAAGTCTCGTGACAACCTGCATGCAACCATTCAAAGGCTAATTGCAAAATCTCCGCAGAAAACGGGCTGCCTGAATGTTGCGCATGTCCAGGGGTTAGAGCATGTTGAAGACCTGCAGCATCGCTCCATGTCCTTGTGGGAGCTTCAAGTGGCAATGCCTACAGCACACGGTGTGGAGGATCTGAATTGAGCATTTAATTTGTTCTCGGATCTAGGTTGCCGACCTCTCGTTGGCACAGAGCTACATTCATGATCTTGCCCTACACAGGCACCTTACTGGCCCTGTTTTCACTTTTTTTGTTCTATTTGCTGCGCCATCAGGGCAGAAGCACGCGCCGCGCAGGAAACGCAGAAAGTCCCAGCCTTTGTCGGGTAGCAGTCGCACATACCCTAATGTTCAGAAAAGAGTGTGCGACAGGCTCCTGTGCTGTCCAAGGCGGATCACCCTGACAGTTCAGGCTCTTGTGGGGCAGATGTGCGATTCCTCTTTGAATTATCTGTGATCAATTTCAGGAATCCCGCGGCCCATCGCACTTGCTGCTTGCCTCGCTGTGGAGGAGACCTTGTTCTTTAAAATCTCCACAGGCGCTGACAACTCTTGGCTCGGAGGATGCTGCTCGAGCACACTTTTATCCTCCTGCCGAAGACATCGTGTCCTGGCGCATTGACCTGGAGAGCGCAATGGAGGAGGCACGGGCTTTTTCCAACATGTGCATTCCTAGTTTGCGGGACTGACAGCGCCATGGCTGGAGGATCCGCCTCCGTCGCCAGAGGCGAAAAGCTTTGACTACATTCCTCTGAATCTTACTTATTTTAGTTATGTTTGCCTCATGGTGTCAAGGCACAAAGTGTTGTTCTTGAGCTGACACACTTCGGAGCTCGGCTTTTGCCAGGGGGCTGTTATAGCTGACTTCATGGGCTTCCTTGTTGGTGTCTGCAGTCGCCTCAGACAGCACTGCAACGAGTGCCTTCAGATCATGCAGTGTCAGCTGAGGCTGGTCAGTGCTCCTGGCCAGAGCTCCATACAGGTGAGGCAAAAAAGTTGGAGCATGTGGCAGTTGGATCCCCACCCTCTCGGGCAGACAGTATTAAGTGCTTTATCTGCTTTGTACGAACAAGTAGCCAAGTAGCGTTTGACAGGTCTGTCCTGAAATTGTGTAGGAGTCGCAAAACTCGTATCCTGCGATGGGGCGGGCAGTGCTGGGTCAGATTTTTCTCATCAGCAAGGTACTAGTCCATTCGCTGAAGTTGACAAACAGTTTCATGACTCGTGCGCCCAATTATGATGCTTGTTTGAGCAAACCAGTATGTATTCCCGAGCTTCTTTCCTTTACTTTGCTAATTATTGCTCAGCCTACATCATCAGATTTCAACTTCTGGAGCTACCCATTTTCTGAACAACCTCCTCATGTTGATTTCCGAAGCGCGGGGGGTCCTGGAGCACCATTTAGAAAGCACGAAGTCCACCAATGAATGACATGATGACTGCGACCTTCCATGTCCCCAAGCGATGACAAATACAGTACGTGCACGATTTTTCCGACTGCCCCGAATTGAGAACAGTCGCAAAGGTGCGAACATTCAAGTGGCGTGAACTCTTGAGCACAGGTTGACTTCTGCAAGAGAGCACTACCCAGTTAGTCCGCGAAATCCTAGAGAGCACACCCTGTTTCCATGTATGAGAGTGTGGCTCGCTTACGTGCCTACGTGATTGTCTCATGGTCAGCGCTGTTTCTCTCCCAGAACATATCTCTTTGCTATGAACTTTGCTGGTTTTATACCTGTATCTGTTTTTTTTGGCTCCATCATGATGCTCTAAAATTCCAGATTCTTTTGTGGAAGAAACCTAGGCATGTCTCCCACACTATCTTTCTCAGGGAAGTAATGGAACAGGTTTCTCCCCATTCTCTCGTAAATAAAGCGGCCGCTCTTTCTCTGAAGTGAAGGGAGGGAAGTCTCCCATTACTTGTGTCGAAGGAGTCCATTGTGTGATGGACAGAGTTGAGGAGGCTCCTCCCCAAAGGAAAATGCTCCCCTTTTCTCTGGAAAGACAGTCCTGCCGATTCTTTCTGCGGACAAACGTTCCCTCCGTTCCAAGGAGAGTCATGTTCATTTTTTCTATGGAAGGAGCTTTACGTGGCAGAAGCCAAGGATAGTCCTGCCCACTTTTTCTGGGGAAGGCTTGCCGGAAAGAAGGGAGGAGGGTCCTCCCAACTGCAGGTAAATCTTTTGTGGAAGGAGCCACTGTTTTTCTTTGAGAGGAAGGGAGCAGAGAG